ATATATTTTTAGAATTTTTTTTTAGCTTTCCAAAATTATTGGCAAGTAATTTTCTTTTTTTTTATTTGGATTTTCAGAAATTTCTCTAATTTGTGGTAAATTTTCAATAGATTTTTATGAATGAAAATTTTTTTAAACTAATACTAATAATAATAATACTATTCTTATGATGATTAAATATGATAAAGCAATGGTCTCTATTATACCACAGCAACTTTCACGAAGATTAATGCACCTTAACAAGAATGCAAGAAGCCCAATTTTTCCCATATCTCTATAATATTTTCTTTTTCAAGAAAATTTGGAAAGTCTTTGCCGATTTCCTAATAGATTATTTGCATATTTATTTATCCTGGTTAGACCATCAATTTACCAATTAGATAAAAATTGAATATTGCTGGTCATATCCAATAAATGCTGCTCAATTATATGGCGCACAAATGATGAGCAGCTGCTACCATTTTGCTTAACCGCACTAAAACTGACGACTTATTTGGTGTCTTATCTTTACCGATTGCTGTCGCCGATCTATTTTATTGTATTGTAAAATGTAAATGTAAGGAGAAAAAAAAAACAATTGCATATTTTAAGGAATAAGTCATATTCATAATTATAGTTGTATTCCGAATGGTAACCATTCTTAAACCATTCTCAATTAATCCATTCTTTAGTTCTTTATCAGTTAATTAGCTGAAACCTTTTGATAGTGCTGCATAATGGGCGTGGTAGGCGAATAGTTGTTGTTATGGCTTGATCTGTATGATAGAAATAAACCTGATACGAATGGTATTAGGGACCAGCTTATATTTTTGTCCCTTAAGTCTTTTATCCTCAGTTCTTGACAAAAATCTACTAATAATGAGCTTAACCATAAACTATGAACGTTATCCACTTACTTTTTATATTTTTATATTTAGATAATGATATATAATAACTAATAGGGATCCTTAAGCGATAACATTAACTATAGAATTCAAGAACTGTTCGTATTAATCAAAATAACTTCAACAGTTAAACGCATAGCTTCACGCCATGTCATTTGAATTTTTTTAACGACCATATTCATGGTTACTGATTAGCCTCGCTTCTCTAGCTTATCATAGACAAATTTGCCATGGGCTCCTTTGGCAGTAGAAGCATAGATGAGCCGCCATCAGTACTCAATGTGGTACTTAAACAAATAAGAATATAGTTTTTATTTAAGGATGCAAAATGAAATTCGATCCATTCATTTCGTTGTTTTTATAGTAGCGATTCTTCAAAGAATTTTTTTCTATAATTATCGTGTTATCCCATAAATAATCGCGGATAGTAAAACATCGCATAAAACTAAATTCACATAATTTGCTAAGAATCGAATCTGTCCGTTGTTTGAAGTAGTTCCGAAATTTGATTATTTATTTATAAAGTATAAATTAATTAAAAAAAGAAATAATAGAAAAATATGTCACATGGAGAATATCGAATGGAATATGCAAAAAAGAATGCAAAAAAGAGAAGGAGGAGGGAAAAAATGTGATCGTTTTTGCTTCCATACGATGCGTGGTATTTATCAAACAAAGACGTTTTTGCAAGATTTTTTACTGAGATATTCGACATTATTATGCATATAGAATATATAAATTCATGAATATTTATGGGAAAAGGCACGACTTAGAAAAAGATGACGAAGATGATGAAGAAGATTCGCCGTTCTTCTTCATCACATTGAAAATTCATTCATATTTGACATATTTATATCAGAATAAGTCTGAGATAATATAGCTGAATTAATTTAAGCCTTTATTTATTATTTTTTTCATTAAAAATTGAAAAATTTGCATAAATTTATAAAAATCGGAATTTGTTTAATGAATCGACAGAGTCGGCATAGAATGGGTGATCAGTGGGTTGTTGCAAATATTTCAATGCATCGATACTGGTGTTCTAATCCCAGCAAGAGTTAACTCGCTTTTAAAATCCCAAAAATGCACAATTATCATCATTTATCATTATCACCATTTCCAATGCTAAGTGACTGCTTGGCAAAATTTTCTCGTCATAGAAGTGAAATAAAAATGAAATAAAAACGATCTTCTAAACAAAATGAAAATCGACAAAATCCTAAAATTTATTTCGCTTTTATAACATTTAGTTTAACTTTACAAAAATTCGGTTTTTTATATAAATCTTTTTATCTTTTATAGTTTAATTCTTTGTTTTTGTCGAAATTATTGCGACGATTTTTTGTAGTAATTTTTATATTGTCGGTTCACTTTGATCTTTAATTAGCTATTCATTATGGCCATTGTTAATGGCTTTTTTTTTGGCTTACGGGTGTAATATCGTCCACAGTAACCCAGCTTTTCCTCTGAGATATTTTTTGTAGCGAAAGAACTTTTTTTTGCTCATCGTATTTTTTTATTATAACTTTTTTTAAGCATACAGTACCATTCCTATTTTTTTTCGCTAAGATCACTTATAATTTAATTTGTTTTTTATATTTTTTGAATAATTTGCTTGTTGCCGGAAAGCCGGAAAGCGGAATAATGGAGTAACACGAAATCGAGGCGAAGAATCGGCGAGGGTAAACTTTGCCATTTAATTTTAATTTTGGTTGAAGCTTTTTTCTTTTTTTTCAGAAGATTGGAATAAATCTGAATTATTTTATATAGTTCGTTTATTTTTACTAATATTAATTGTTAAATCGAAATCGAAATGATTAATTTAATTAGAAACCAAAGAAATGTTGGAATCTTTTCAGATATTTTTTATAATTTCATTGTGGACCTACAGATTTATCTAAAAAAATTAAAATTTCAAGAGTCGGTAGAAGTTGTTTCCAGAATTTTTTCGAGGTATTGCCTTATATTATTTAGTTCCCTGTTAAGAAAGATTTGTTATGCATCTGTTTTCGCAGTGGGTGGAAAAGTAATTACGTAAGATAGGAAAATGGTTAGTGGTGGTCTTATATATACCGAAAATATATGATGTTATCGAGAGTCAATATCCTATTATTGTATGCATATCTGCTTATATCTCTATAAAAATCTCTTTTTTTTTCTCTGATTTGTTTTCTGAACCATCGAAAAAGATCCTTGAGGATAAGTTCAAGGATCCTCAAAGAAGTCAGCTGGAACAATTAGGATGATTGTTAATAAATTTCTGTAAAATAGCTTTTGGATATATCCACTTAAAACCATAGCATAGTGGTAGTGCAATTTCTCTATCCGTGTCATTAAGGAATTGTCAGTTCTTAGTAAAAGAAAGTGGTAATTTTAACCTTATTCCACTAGATTTTTATCAAGTATAACTTAGATTGTAAATTTGAGATTAATTATGATAGGATGAAAATAAATTGCGAATGGCTCTTAGATAAGAAAGATAAGATAATATAGGGGATAAAAAGAATGGTTATTATGAGACTCGGCACATAATTCTTAGTTAAGACCAAATGAAAAGTTACTAGTTGATTGGTTTATTATTTATATGGTAGGAAATTCTGGTTTTCTGACAAAGTTTACTTCGATATCTCGATTCAGCTCCACTTCGTCCAATAGTAGTATTTTTCAATCCCTTTCCTTCTGTCGAATAGCGAATGAAAAATGAACAATTGTTATCTATCATCTTTATCAACAGTTGCTTGTCATTCTTATTATTGCATATAGCTAAGAATAATTAAGATTTTTTGTTTTATATGAGCAATTTTACATTATTGGACGAAAGCTGGTGTAAATGGTTCCAGTCAATGATATGCCAAAAATTTGCAAATATAAAACTCAAATGTTTAAACAAAATTTTTTGAAAGAAATTTTCGAAGAAATGTTTAAACAAAATTTTTTGAAAAAAATTTTCGAAGCTTTTTTAAAGTTAAAATATTTTTAACTTATATATTTATTAAATTCTTATAATTTTCCATTTCTTCTTAAAAATTGATAATTCTTTCAACTAAAATTTATTTGTTTATCACTTGCTTATCATTAAAAATTAATAAAAAAAAGTTTATAAATCGTTATCAATGATTGCTTTATTCAATATCGAGATTTCTTTATTTGTGCCCTTTCGTTTTCTTTTCGGCTTTATCATATTTGTTAAAGCAATTATGAATTGGTTCAAATTTAGGCAAATGTTCTACTGCTCTCATATGTTAAAAGTATTTATAAAGGATTAAAAAAAGACTTTTGAGGGATTAAAGGAATTATCGAAAACTTCTTAGAGGAAGAAGTTTTTTATTATTATATTCTATTTTTTGAGCAGTGCAGAAAACTTAAACTTACAAGCATAGTTAATTTTTTATGTAACCAAATTTTTTCATTTAAAAAAAAGATAATTTATCTTGAATTAAATTTTATTCTCGTGCTTATTCAAAAATCACTCATTAAGAGACATTAATCATTTAATATTTTTCTGTCGATTCCTATCCCTACCAGATAACCACTCGGAAATTAGAAATGTGGACTAAGTAGGCGACGATTTGGACTTCGATTTTAGAGACAGATTTTTGCTTTCTTCAAGGGACACGGATCGAGTCTTTTATTAGCCCAATTTACCGCTCCTCTATCACATATCTCTTATTTAAATATTATTAAATAGTCTAACAATTATCTAACAATAAATAGATCAAAATTTTGTAAATTATCACATAAAAAATAATAATAATGATCAATTACGATCAATTTTGCAATTAATCACTTTTTCTATTTATAATTTATACGATCTGTAGGAAATCAGAGTTCATCGAAATATCAAAACCTATTCTCCATGACCAAAAATCTTTCGCTTTCAAAATATTTGCATAATTTAGGCTTTTTTATTGTAGTTTTTATACGCTGACATAAGCTTTTCCATAAAGTTTCTATAGGCTGTTATAGGCTTTTCTAGCAAAGTTTTCAGCATTTATATTAAAAAATTATAATTAAATTCTGCCATTAATATACTTATCACTTCCATACGCCATAATTTTTGTAGTCTAGTCAGTCATTACTGATCGTTAGCATTGTAATTTTTCTAAAATTCAGATGATGAATGCTGATGTAAATGATCGACAGAAAATCAATGGTGAGCAGTTCAGAGGTCAGCAGCATCAATTCATTGGATACCAGGGGTCATCATCATCATCATCATTTTCATCATCTGTTGTGCTAACGAAAAGTACAGTTTGTACAGAGGGAGGCGGGATTAATATAAGACCACGTCCACAAATACCTCCTAAGCCACAGATGGATGCGGTAAGATATAGTATGGCGAATGTACAAGGTTGGTCTTTTTTATCATTTATCCCAGTTTTTTTTACGAGGTTTATATTATTGCATTTATGTGGATTTTTAGAAAGTTGCGATTGGGAACTTGATACATTGCTGAATGAATTATCGGCATTGGAATGTCAATTAAATTCATCGACTGGTGTCGATCAGCTGATTCTAGGCCTACCGATTTTACCTGTTCCGAAAGAGAACAGTACCACGCATAACAGTTGCAATAGTAGTAATAATAAAGATAATTCTGTCAATCAGCTACATGATTCCAGTAAAAGGTTAATTTAATTTTCTTTAATATTATCTAAAGAACCAAAAAATTTTTGTCTCTTAAAAAATCTCTTTTAATTTCCAATTTCCCTAAGCAATTTTTATCTTTCTTAATAAAACATTCATTTAAATGTTTATAATTAATTAAATTCTCAAAGCATGTCGAAGCAATTTTGTGAAAATTTTTTATTTATCTAACGGCTTATCTTGTTCACCTGTTAATCAATTTTTTTACAAGAAAATTTCAAATTTTTTTCATTCTGAGAACATTAGCTATTTCTGCCTAAAGCTGATTCAGCTGGCTTGTCAGATCAGGCAAGATTTATCTGAGGCCTATTTGACGATAGTATGGTGGGCTGACAGCATAGATCGGATTTTTTGAAGAACAGGTAGGTACTCCTAGTAGAACTCTACCATAGACGCCCTGAAATGCGATCATCAACCCACTCAGCCATTCTGCCAATCCCGATGTATTTATCGAATAGCGTAAAGTTTTTTGAAGATTATTGGTAAATAATTTCGAAAACATACTTACAAAATTTTGAAATTTCAACTTAAATTTTTATTTAAAAGCGAATAAAACGAGTAAAATGATGAGCGTTATTAGATGAAGGAGCGAGCATTTGTGAATTTTTTTAATTTTTTTATTTATTTTTATTTATCGAAAATAGAAAATTCGTTAATTTTTAATAAAAATAAATTTTTAATACGAGAAACTCTAAACTCTATTATTTGATTTGATTCATAAAAAGTTTTTTCCTTTTTTTTTATTAATCATTCACATCGTTCGATTTTGATTGTTTAAATTAAAAAGCTTACAGATTTACCAGTTTAGAAAAATGAAAAAACTAGATTCGAAATTTATTTACCACAAATTTTTAGATTTATGAGCAAAGAGAACACTATGCGACCAATTGTCACCTCTATATCGGATTGTCCTAGTCCCGATCATGACTCGGCTTTTGGCGATTCGTCGAGCACCGAGTCGCGAAATCGCCGTTGCCGTAATTCAGCTATATCGAGTTCCGATAGCTGCCGAGGCTCCTTGAATACGCCGAGTCCAACTCAACAGGTTTTCATCTTCCATTATCTCTCAGTTAATTGCTTTTTAAAATGAAAAATACGTGAACAATTCCTACTTGAGAATGCAACTAATTGATTCACCCGTATTCCTTGAATTTCATGGATTTTCCCCAAAGTTTTTTAGTTAAATGATTTTTTTGGCTTTTTTCCCACTTAGATTAAATTTTTTATTCGTTTTTTTACGGATTTTGCAAATATTTTTGCAAATAAAGCGAATTTGTTTATGATTATTGTTTTTAAAAAAGCAATTATTTTAACTTTAATTTTTAAAAACATCAAAAATTCATTCTATTCATAATTTTATATTTTTTAAAATTTTTTGCTTATTTTTTCCGATTTTTTCTCTCCGGCTTATCAGGTTTTTTTTCTTTCTCTGATAATAATTGGCATGGGGCAATTTTCGCAGGAATCATTTTAAAGTAATATTCTTGTTTCGCTCTTTGTTTTTAATCTCCAACTTTTAGTCTTTCTTCGATTAATTTTTCGTTTTAGTTCTGTTTTATTCAGTTTACTAGATGAAAAAAATATTTTTTTCTGACCTAAATACCTATAAAAGTTTCAATATCGTCAGAAAAATGATTAATTGCTTACGATTGTTGTATAAAATTTGAGCGATTTTGGCCATAAAAACCTCATTATTTCACATTGTATCATTTTACATCAAAAATATACAATTTTTTTTTCCCTTTCCTTTGCCATGCATGATAGCAATATTTCCGCATATGGAATAATGAAGGAGAAAAAAATACAAATAAAACGGTTCCATTAAAAAGCTCTATTATCTTCCTTCGCTCTATTCGATTTTTATTGAAAAGGAAGTCAAAAAAATACGAAAATTATTAAATTTTATGATCGTTTTAAGCATGTGCAATATTTATATAAAAAATTAATCGCAATTATATATTTTTATAGGAATATTAGAATTTTACATTTTAGTTTTTAAAGTTTCTTGTAAGAGTTTTTTTATCAGATTTTTATTTTGTTAGAATTTTTTGAAATATTTTTAAAAATTTATTATTTAATATCGTTTTTTATTAATTTTTTATTAATTTTATTAATATTTTAAAGATAAATTTGGATAAATTTCAAATTTTTTCATATTTTCTTATTCATTTTCATTTCTCTTTCCTTCTTTAATTATTTTTATTTCTTTGTTTTCCTTTAATAAATACGAAATGAGTTGTTTAGTTTATGGGATAGAATGGCTTAGTGAGTAGTGCTTATCAGAGCGGCGAACCGAGAATTCCATTCCCACAGGAGTAAACTGTCTTTCGAAAATTCGGATGATGCTGGCGACTCATTTGTACTTCTATCGCCAAATGAGTTCCTGGAAAAATTTCTAGTCTAGTTGGACAAGCCAGCGGAACGAATCTAACCAGAAATGGTGAGCGCTCTTAGGAAAAAAAAAATTAGTTTATGGTTGGTAAATTTGTTTGAAAGATAAGATAAGATTTGAAAAATCAGTTCTTATCATTCGTTTGTATTTCTTTAAATTAATTATATTAATTATATATTAATTAATTAATTATATCCAACTACTGAATAATTTAGATTACTTGTATATTGTTATTGTTTAAAAGAATAATCATAATAGCTGAAGGCAATAGCCTTGCGATGAAAATTGGTGGACATTTGCTATCGATCCTTCTTGTCCACAAACACTCCTTCTATGTTTCTTCTTTCTCCTTCCACAAATACTCCTCCTTTTCCTCTTCCTCCTCCTCTTCTTCTATAAAATTCCATTTTATTCTTACCGATTGTCGTTTTTTGATGACCTTTCTTTATTTCTCAAGGATTTTTTTTCAAAAAAAAACCGGGAAAATTTAATGAAAATGGAAGTAAAAATAATAAAAAAAATTGAAATAATTTTTATTTTTCTCTTAGAAAATTTTCATTAAAATTATTTGTTGATTATTTTTATTTTCTAAAGAAATATTAAAATAGTATTTTTTAATTCTAATTCTATTTTTTTCTTTTGAATTTTATAATCTTTTATTAAAATAAATGATTCATTAAATAAACTAAAAAAATTTTTTAAAATCAAATTTTTCAACATTTTTCATCGATTGTCGATGTGTTCCAATATTTTTCAATATTCAAAATATTCATCTTTTCTCTTAAATTATAGTTTTTTTTTTGATAAACAATTCGTAACTCACTACGCTGGTTTTTCGTCATTTGAGGATTAGTCGTAAGTACCACTTAGATTGTTTAGTGATAGGTTTACCGTTGTTGAAGGTGAAGTTCGAGTACCGCTCGAAATCTGAAGGCAATAATCTGAGCTGCAATAATTATGTCTTCTTCCTCTCCTACGATTTATATATATATATATGTATATATATATGTATCGTTGATGACCTGAAATGTTGACGGGGATATTTTTTTGTTTCTTTGTTCACTTTTATTTTTCGCAATTACTATTTCATTTCTTTCGAATTTATTTCTTCTTTTCAATTTTTTCTAACTTTTTCTCTTATATGAGCCAAGGACACTATCATAATTATTGTTAGTTGTCATTGAAATGATCGTTCAAAATATTCTTCTACAAGTTTAATGGATATGCTCTCTGTTTCGTTTAATTGAAATGATACTAGTTTTATTGATAAGTTATTCCTTTATTCTAGTTTATCATTTTATTGATAAGCTCTATTGTATTCTTTTATCCTGCTTAGTTCATTGATTTCCCTTATAAAACTAAAAGGCGAAAATGGGAACGAAATATTTTAATAGTGTTTGATAATTTTTTAAGGCATCACCAAGTCAACAAAAACAGCAACAGCAACAACAACAACAACAATTTTGTACATTATCAACATCGTCATCATCAACAGAAGCGACACGACAATCACGTACGGAAAGTGAAATAAAAGCAGCAAAAATACGTGAAGCACTCGAGAAAATGCGTGAAGCAGATATTAAAAAATTATACGTGAAATTTTTTCTTGATGATGGTGCATCAACGATTTCGTTACTCGTCGATGAACGTTGGACAGTTGCTGAAATTTTACGACATATCGCTAGCAAGCAAAAAATTCCCTTAACTGAGCAACACGCGATTGTTGAAGAATATCCTGAACTTTATATTAGTATGTCGATTTCTAAAATTTCTTTCCTCAATATTTTATTATTTTTGATTTAATTGGTTCCATTTGTCACCGGGGGTTCCGACGGCAATATCCTTGAAATTGATTGTAAAATTTATTTCATTTTTTTTTCCACTGTTGCACTATATAAGATTAAATATCATGGAGCCGCCTATGGTGTTCGAAATTTTTTCTGATCTTATCAATCTTTTTTAAAATGAATCTTCTAGATTTCGCATCACTTCTGTTCTGTTCCTTCCTTATCGTCTTATCACTTCGTTCAACTTTTTTAAAAAATATCTTTTTTTCAGCTCGAATATATGAAGATCATGAATATCTCGTGGAAAACATAATGATGTGGGTATTAAATTCACCAAATAAGCTTTATTTTACGCGACGTCCTGACAAATACGTTTTTATCGAACGTCCTGCAGAATTTTTGGTTTCCGAGCGCAATATTGATGTTTTATCTCAAGGACCACCATCACCAGACACTAAGCGACAAATTGTTAAGGTATTTATTTGTAATATTCGAGCCTTAGGCTCAGTCAAGGCAATTTTCGTTCCCTGTGGACTTGCGTAACGCATCTACCATATGTCTCTTTTTACGTTGTCTGTTGTTCATTGTTGTTGAACGAATTAATCATCTTCATTGCTTGGCTTTTTTTGTTTTATTAGAATGGGAAAAAATTAATGGAACGATTAAACACTCTCGGAGCCCATGGATTGTGGCTGGAACCGGCGAGTTGAAATTTGATATCCATTGTTTCTTGAGCCAGGCCGAGGCCACTCTTTCCGCAGAAACAGGCCACGTTTTTTTGACTTCCTTGATTTCTTCATATTTAAGATTTGGCGGGGGTTTTTTGGTTTGGGAAATAGGTTGTGGGATGTTCAACGTATTTACCTTCAATTTAGCTAACTTCGCCGATCTCCATGAGGGGGTTATTTGGCGATGAAAGTGCGGATGGATCGTTGGCGCTTGGATCTCGGTCATCTGGAGTTTACTCTTTAATAGTAAATCCCCCCTCCCTTTTGGCGGAGATGGATCGGCCTGCTGCTGATCGCCTAATCTTGGTCCGACCTCTGCCATTGTTATTTATAATACATTAATAAAGAACAACATATGCTCCTTTAAAAATTTCGATCAGTCTTTTTTTGTTATGAACCATCTGCTAATTTTTTCTTTTGTTGTGGATCTTTTTTCTCTTTGCTGTTTATTATTTTCCATGTCATTCGAGCGCATAAAAGATGGAAATGATAGGTCTTAATTAAATGGCACATTGGTTCGTGGTTTGGTGGTGCACAGGGTTGGTAGAATACAGCGCTGTTTGCCTCGGTTAGTGTCGAACAGCGGTGCTTCAATTCTCTCTCCCTTGGCAGGCATAAGCTTAATTCTGGGACATTTCTTATTCCTTCCCTTACAGATATCGGCAGAACCATCCCTACTGATGAACGCTGAGGAGAGGGAAGGAAATGCATAGCTAATAAATATAGGAGAAAATGGATGTATTTATATTATACTTGCTGGCGAATGTGAATCTGGCCGATTATGGTTATCGGAAGGCTTTAAATTAGTATTAAAATGCTGCCATTTATAAAATATCATTTCGAAATAATTATTTTAATCTATTGGCTCTTGCATTTATGGCCTATAAATTTTTTTGGCTTACGGAACGGTGAATAGATTTTTGAGTTTTTGGAAATTTTCAAATTTTGCGGCTCATAAAACTATTGAAGAATTGAAGAATATTTAAATGATTAAAATTTAAAGGATTTCTTCGAGAACGATCATGTGGAACCACCTGAAATGGAAGGATGGCTAATGCTGAAATCCGATGGACGAAAATCGTGGAAAAAATATTTCTTTATTTTGCGATCGTCCGGTTTATATTATTCGAGTAAAGGCAAAAGTCGTAATTCGAAAGATTTACAATGTTTAATGAACATGCAAACGAATCAAGTTTATGTGTGTTCGGAATGGAAACGCAAATATAAAGCGCCAACGAATTTCGGCTTCGCTATTAAGGTTTAATTTAATTTTCCTTTTATTTTTTCGAATCGCGTCCGTAATTTGTGGTTCGATTTATTCGATTTGCTTAGATTTGGACGAGGCTAATTTTGACAAAAGAATATTTATTTGATGTTAGAAATATCGATGTATCGGCGACGCTAATTTTCAAAGATAGATTAGATTTACGAGTAGTGGCGAGTAGAACCACAAAATCGGCGCTTTATAAAATGAGGGCAAAGCGACTTATCGAGTTTTTCTTAAAATTTAAATAAATCAAAATTTCTTAAAATTTAATGATAATTTGAAGGAAATTTTAAGTTTTTCTTAGCACTTTCACGAGATTTATCATTCATTAATCCTTCATTTTTCTTTGAGTTGAATTAATTTATTTTATATTGTTCGATGTAATGGCCAAAAAGTATAGGTGTGCGCATAGCTTTAGGCCTTAGGTCTTTAATTAGAAAGCTTTCTGATCTTTTTGTTCGCTTTTTTAAATTTTCTCAGCCAATATGCTTACTTGAAGATTTAAGAAAGTTTAAAATTTGATTAGTTTGCTGTTAATGCATTTATTTTATTCATTTTTTTTTGCGATTTTAATTTTTTCTCTAAAAATAATTTTTCTATCTATCAGTTCATTTTTTTTTCTTAGATTTCACTTAAAGTTCTAGAGTTTTGTACTTTTAAAATGGAAATTTTAGGCAAAAATTAAAATGAAAAATATCGAATTTCTTCGTTAATTTTGATTTTAAATGAAATTTTTAGCATCCAAAAATTCAAGTAAAAGCATCGAAATACATTAAATATGTTTGCGCAAACGATGCGATCACATTTCACAAATGGATGGCTGCTCTTCGAATTGCTAAGGTTTTATATTTTTTGTTTGTTAGAAATATCAGTATGATGATATTTTTAGTTTCCTATAATAGCGTTTTTCTTTTCTATTTTTAATGAATTAAGCGCTATTAAGCACCTTTTATTGCTTTTTTTACAATTCATGGAATTTTTAATAAAATATGTATTTAGTGTTTAATTTAATAAATTTTCAGAATGGTCGACAATTGTACGATAATTACTTAGCAGCAAAAAAATTTATGGAATGTATTACAACTCAACCGGTGAAAGTAGATATTCCGCAAATAAATGCCAGTGCGACAATGAATTATGATCGATTTTCCACGATATCTGCGCAAAGGAATGGCCATCAGGATCCACCTTCCTTCTTAAATCTGAATCGTGAAATAATACCAGAAAGAGTAAATAAAATATCACCTTGTGCGAATTCAACTTCTGATGCGTGCTGTTCGAATCACAGCAGTATTGTTTTTGATCAGGTATTGATTTATCGGTCGATATTGAATTTGCAAGGAAAAGCAAAAACTGTTATTTAATAATCTGGATTGAATAGCAATAGCAAATTTTTCTATGTATTAATTTTTAACTCTCTCGTAAATCGTAAATAACTCGAGTATGTAAGGTAGAATTGCAGTGCGATGAATTGTTAACGGGAACCATAAAGCGAGCTCCATGCGATTTCTTATCACAGTGTAGACGGCAGTCGTCACATTATGATCGGTATAGCTCTAGTGGAGGCACTGGATCTCCAACGGTTCAAAGTATTGGCGATGCGGCTGATTCAGATAGCGATGAAGAGCAGTTTCCACCTCCGCCACCTATGGCTACAACACCAGTCCCATCAATTGAAATAGGTTGAAATAAACAAATTGTGTGTGGCTTAATTGCAGCAAAATTTTAATGATATAACTAAGACTATATTTCAGTCTTAAAATTATCAAACCATTTTTGACAATTACTATGACAAAATTTTTGTCGTTAAGTTCCGGAAAAACGCCTCAAATTTTTTTTTAAATAGCAGAATCATGAATTTTTTCCTCTTGCAGCAACAAATGGTTCTACTCCCAATTCTAATAAAGTTCTACAGAATGGAGTATCAGGTGCCTTATATTCTTCCATAAGGCCCTCTGTTCCTGTACCCCCCAAAAATTTTACTTTGCAGAGTGGAAAAATTGCTAGCAGTCCTGTAAGTCTATTTTTTCATCGTCTTTTCAGCTGTTTCGTTGATTTATTAAATTTTTATATTTTGTTTTATGGATATTTTTCTTTGAAATATATATCTAAAAATTAGACGTAAATTAGATGTCTTTTGATGGGCTTATTTGTCTCTTTTTTTAGGAAACAAACCTTGTCCAATCAACACAAAAGATAAAAAAAGTACCACCACCTCCACCACCAAAGCGCGCTGATACAACACGTTTACACACGGTTGTTTATTTTTATTGACTGAAAAATTTTCTGAATCTGAAAAAATTTTTCGAATAAACCGGCTGAATATATATTTGCCTATATTTCAAATTTATTAAAAAAGCTTCCTAATTATAGAAAACACTATATGTAAACAAATAAAAGGTTCTGCTTTTTCTTACATATAGTTTCTTGTCTATATCAGAGTGTTCAATCTTTCGGCATTCCTGAGCCACATTATGTGAAAAGGAATTAGGTCCTATGCAAGATATACACAGTATAGATTAAACATAAGAAATCGAAAAAGTAAATAAATAAAAAAAGTTTATCTTCTACTTTTTTATTTTTTATATTTTCATTGTAAAATCAAAAGAACAAAGGATAAAAATTAAAACTAATGGGATATCTGAGATGTACTTTTTTGTCAAGTGCATCAAAATTTTGATGAAATTAGATGCAATTCTCAGTAAGTTCTTAAATTTACATGGGCCGTGATTTAGATACTTCTGATTTTTATTTTATATTTGCATGGGCATAATAATAAGCGCGGTTTTATGATTACAATTGCCTTTCATATTGCATTTACTTCCATTTATTCATATTAAATTATTAGAATTAAAAAATATGAAAAAATAAAATTTGCTGAAGTTTTAGTGTAATTGCCAAAGATGTTTTCAGGATTTTAAGTAATCTTGCAATGATGTATGGAAAATTTTTGTTTAATTTTAAAATTGCTTTAAGGCGAATATTGATGCTTTACATAACGAGTTGGAAATTGCAATGGCACGAAGGTTACAGCGGATTGAGCATTAAAAATTTTGCTTTCGCTTTTATGATTGGTTGGTCCGCGTATAATAAATGCCGAAGTTTTGTTCTTTTGCGCTTATTTTTTGCCATTTAGGATGCTTTCTTTAATATTTTTGTTTTTTGCCTTTTAAGCAAATTTTAGCAATATTAAAATTTTTTTTAGTAAAGGGTAAAAATTTCTTTGTTAGATGTTACATAAGCAAAATGGAAGTATAAAAGTAATTTAAAAAGATACTTTTTAATTTACACTTTTTAATGGAATAAAAAAGCTGTAATTTCGGTTTTTACTAATCTATCTCTCATTTACCTATTTTTAATATAAGCGCAATATTTCAATTGTTATGATATTTTTCTAGTCTGTTGTTGTTTCCATTCTTTTCTTTTATATCGGTATGAATTATTTTCAAATTAGTTATTTCTGTCTGCTGTATTTAATCTATCAAATTTTTACTGCCTATTCATATGGGTATTAAATTTAGGCGACTGTTTTTTATGATTTTTAATGGAAGGTAATTGTTTAAGCAGTTTTTTAATGAGTATTTTATCTTTTTTTGCTAAATTTCTTTGTTTACTATTTATTTAGATTTTGCGATGTGTTTTAATGTGAATTAGGAAAGGTTAAAAGGTCATGAAACAGAAATTAAGAGCTCTAAAGTGAACGTAAAATATATTTTTTTAAAAAACAACGGAGCAGAATCGCGTTTTTCTATATAATTTATTGTATTTTTATTGTTTTGTAAATAATAAACATTTTCATTTTTTGCATCGTTTATTTGGAAACATTTTAGAAGTTGTGTGATTTGAATAGATCTCTCTCTCGGAAGAATTTATCTTTTCTTTTTATGGATTTCTGCAAAATTTTCTGGAAGATTCTGGAAAAGAAATTTGAATGTTGATTTTTTAAAGTTGTCGAATGTCGAGCCATTGTTCGTCGCTATTTCGATAGTTATAGAACTCGAGAATTTGGAATTCTTTATTGTAATTTAAGCATCGATTCAAAGAAAGGGGTGAACTAAAGAGATATTCATTTGCGCTTCGTTGACGAAACACAATCGCCTAATGGTTTGACTCGATTATATGCAAATGAAATTTGAGTAGTTAAGTGCTTTTCTAATAGTTCGAGAAATAGCTCAAGGAATAAGAATAAGGGGTAGAGAATTGGAAATTTCTGTCGTTATCTCATGCAACAATTTGATTAAAAACTAAGAACTACATTGAAGGCCTCGCGCTGATAACACTGATAATGATAATACTTATCGCTGGATTTGATTCCATTGATCGCATTTGATTTTCAAAAGCCTAGTTAATTATCTGTTACGATTGTGCTTCTATTGGAACAGATGAAAGATAATTTAGCGAAACTATATAGCTTTCCCTAGAAGAAATTTAGAAATTTTTTTTTTGAGTTGTAGTCCTTTGAAACTTATCAAATATTCATTATCATTTATTTATTCAATTATTTATTATTTATTATTATTTTTCTATTTTTATATTATATTTTGGAAGATTCGAAATTAGAATGAGCGACTAGAATTTACAAATCTAAAAAGAAGAGGAGGGAAATTCATGTTTAATTTCTTGGAAATATTCTCGTTTAAAAAGGAAGATAAGGACGAGGACGATTAAGGAATAAATTCGTGGGGGTGGTGTGAGGAAGCTGAGAGGGGAAAAAATCGTTTAATACGTCGTAAGACCTTACTACATGCAAGTTATCCTATTGTCGTTCGATTTCTGCTGTAATCCATTTTCGATGAATTACTTATGAATTACTGAAAAAAAATTTTATTACCATTTTTTTTCCAGTAGATTGAATCCGTAATCCAATAATAATTTATGCGAATAGAGTTGATTAACTTGTAAGAGGAATAAAATATCGGCTTTAGACTAAGTTATACTTTATAGGTATGGATTCAAGTCGTGATGAGATGGCTGCTCAAGAAAGTACCGTCGAATTAAAAATGGATAATACTCGAGATCTTCATCAAGTTGTTAAGGCACTTTTGTTTAAAGAGGTGTTTTTTATATGCGTTATAAAATTTTAGGTCGTCAAAACGAGTGATCAGTGATGGTCCAATATTCCAATTAAGGTGAAGGTATCACTGGTATCACTGGTTTGAGTCGTGTTGTCATTAAAAGCAAAATCCGGCTGTTCTGAAGGCTCACTTATAGTTTCACTAAATAATTTTCCGACGAAGAGTTTCCATCCTATTAGTCTTTGGAGTACTAGAAAAAATCGATGGGCAATCCACAAATGGCTGGCGATGTAATATGAAATATTATTAATTAATAAATACTATAAATCCTTTAGGATAGAGATAAAAGATAAGACATATGTTTCCATAAATGATAAAATTGATAAAACTGTTCAAATTTTCAATTTTTCCATATATTTTTAATTTTGGCAGAATTTCCATAGAATATTAAATTTTTGATTCTTTCCGGTCATTCCAGTTTATAAAGAAGTAGTTTTTCGACCAGTTCGCCCATTTCAGGGTAATAAAGATTTAATAAAATTTAATGCGATAAAATATCACATGATCATGTCCACCTTCGTTCAAACACCACCTGTATTAATAATGTTATCACAGAGCGTCGCCTTCGGTGGTTAGGGCACGTTCTCCATCGTCCACCACAAGAGTTGTCGTATATTTCGTTAGTAATGGATGGTGTCAAAAGCAAGGTGGACCAATCAACATCTGGGCTGATACGGTCAGGAAAGATTTCGAACGTATAGGTGGACCAGCAATATATGGACTTAGACGATGGAAAAAGGAATGGCTTCTATTACTGTCGACAATGGCTCAGACCGCACCGTTTGGAATCGTCTTACCTTTATAGCCATTGGAGCCAGCATAACCAGCAATGAGAGCTATTAGAAGAAGAAGAAAATTTCAGAGTGATAGAGTGTAAAGAGTGAGAATCACAATGTTTTTCTTCTTTCCTTTTATTTCCATAGAATTTCCTTAGGTCTAAGGACTTTTGATTAAAATTTAGGTTTAGCTTTATATTTGGAGTAATTTGAATTTTTTATGAAATTTTTTGTTTTTTTGTTTTTTTCTAATTTTTACGATGTTTATTTTTCAGAGTGGTATAATTGATGTTAGCGAAAATGGTCTAAGAATTATTGTTGATGATCAGAATTGTTTTCAAGCTATTGCTTATATAAAAAATGAAATTTTTTCTAGCTTCGTTTTACGTGCAGAAAATGCAACATTTCGTACATCGATGGCAATTCTTGCGGTTTGTCCGATTTCTTGAATAGTTTAGATGTTTTATTTAATCTTTGTGTAAATTTTAAGGATTGCTTAAATGTATTTGGTGTACCTGGCAATACCACTTTAAAGATGATTTACGCTGGACAAGCAGAACCGCTGAAGTTGATGCTTGAAAAAGATGGCATCGTGGTGAAGTCGATGATAAAAACTCAGAATCCTGGCACAGTAAGCTTTATCATAATTTTCTAGAAAATTTTCATTTTTCAAAAGGAATATCGAAATTATAAAATGTTAGAATCTGATTATTCCTTTAGTCAAAGCGATGTATAATTTTTGCTTTTTTTTATTCTTTAATTCTTTTTTTAATACTATTTCCAGGATCGCTATCAGAATTATGAAAAAAAGGCTTTTGCTTGTTTTCATTATTGCTTCTTTTATTTTTCCTTATTTTTGTAAATATTTTTTGTTTAAAATTTGTTTAAGATTCTCGATTTTGATTTTGATGCATCGGATGTTGCTACAAAAGTGATCATGAAGCCATTAAAATTGAAAGAAGTTTTCCATGAATTGGATATGAGTAGTGCATCGATTGGTATTAAAATCACTCATCGTTTATTGTGTTTTTCGACAGAAGGTGATTTAGGAAAAATTAAGGTTAAAATTTTTAAAATATCCTTAAAAGCATATCGGTTTTACAAAAGAAAATTCGCGTAAAATATGAATAGCTTGCATGGAGTTGTCGATAGCGATCTTTAAGAAACTTGTTGTCTAAATTTCCTAATTCTAGACGGAATTCCCTCAACATTCCGAACAAATTGAAAGATTAGAATGTGAAAATAACGTGGAATTCAAATATCGTTTGAATTTGTTAAAACGTCTAACTCCTGCATTAAATATCTGCCAAAAGGTTTGCTTTGCTTTTTCTATTTTTCCTAAAATAAACTATTAAATTAGAAGTTCACATATTCTTGGATTTTTCGTAAGGCTTAGTTCAATCGTTGCTTTAATTTTAGGTATCTATAAGGATCAACAGTCGAGGCATTCTTTCGCTACAATTTATGATTGAGCATAGCGAAAATAACCATATCTTTATCGAGTTTTTTGTAAGTTTGCATTTTATTTTTTCATATTTATGATAGTTAATGCTTCATCAGTGTTGTTCGAGGAATTCTGTTGATTCAATTTCCTTTAAATTTAAATTCATTCATTTTCATTTTCCATACTTTTAATATCTTTTATTATTTATAAGAATTGACAATTTCGCTTAAAATGACCTTAGATTGGAAAGAAATTTCATCAGTCACGAGATGTCGTGTCCAAATTCCATAAAAATGCTTCGTGACTGAGATGTTGATGTTTCAATAAAAAAAATAGAAGAAAAAAACATTTAAATCATTTATAATATTTTTAACAAACAACAATTATTTAAACAATTATTTTTTATAAATGACAATAAATAGTTTCTTATAAAATAAAAATTGAACTAAATTCTTTAATTGAACATTGGAAATTTGGAAATTTCGAAAAAGCTTGAATTTTGAAAAATTAAAATTTTATTTTAAAGAAATTTTAAATTTTAAAAATTTTTATGAAATTTTACAACCAACTGAAAAAAAATTTTTTTTTTACGAGATTCATTCTTGATCATTAATAAATTATTGAAACAGTTATTGTTGTTCGTTCTTCAACCAAGTGAATATTTGAATCTTATCAAAATGCCACTAAATTTTCACCTTTTATATACTTTTCTACATTTATAATTGCAGTGTGTACCAGATTTATAATAATGGAATATGCAACAGCAACGATTATCAACAAATAACCACTATGGTGCTATTTTTTTGAAATAAATTTGATTATTGTGAAAGTAACTTTTCATTTTTTCTATTTCATCTTTATTCAAATATAAAAATGTTAAAATTTAGAAAAGTATTTTGTATTTTCTTTTTTGAATTATTCTAAATGATTCGCTACAAAATTCAATTAATTATGGAATTTTTCTTGCATATTGCATTTTTTTTGTTTTTCAGTTCTTTTTTTCGAAATAGATTGTTTAATAATTAAATAAAATATTTAAATTTAAATATTGTCGAATTTCATAGTCAGAAAGTAAATAAATATTGCCTCAAACAATGACCACTTAAGAATTTAATTAGTGGTCAAATCGTTAGGCGCCGTTCAAACCACTTCAGTTTTATCGCTTTGAAATGATAATTGCATTTCCTCTTTTAAATTTCTCTCATATTTATTCATTTTATTCTATTATTATTTTTATTTTGAATTTTTCATAGTTTTGGGAATTTTTATTTTAGGGAATTAATTAATTTAAGCGATGGTAAATGTAATGATTTTAGCAATAATTTTATTTGAATTTTCTTATTCGATTAGCACGTCGAATGAATGGGATCGAATAAGGTTCGCATTTAATTATTATATTTATTTAAAAATTAATTTAAGACTAGAATGACTCGGTGAGTTATTGGTTTCGATGGCAACCGTGAAGCATTCTTTCAAATCCTGGTGGCGTCTCACAAAATTTTGCAAGAAATAAGCCTAAATAGCGCGATGACTCTTAGAGAGATCAGTTTTTAAATTTATTTTTGCAAGGAATTTTTTTAAATTAAAGAACTAATTTCGAATTTTCACCATTAATGCAATAAAAAAATTAATTTAAGACTAGAATGACTCGGTGAGTTATTGGTTTCGACTTTTTTTCGAAATAGATTGTTTAATAATTAAATAAAATATTTAAATTTAAATATTGTCGAATTTCATAGTCAGAAAGTAAATAAATATTGCCTCAAACAATGACCACTTAATCTAAATTTGCTTATTCCATAAATTGGAGTGTTCCAGTGGTTCTTTACTGGTATTGTTCATCGAATGCTAGAAAGTAATCGGTGCTATATAGCGAGAAATCTTATTACAATACAGCACTTGAGTTTGGCACTGAATGAGAGAGATTTTTATTTGCCGAAAAGATTTTTTGTTTGAATTTTGCATGATTGGAAAAATATGAAAATTTATTAGAATTAAAAGTGGATTTTAAGGGAAATTTTTTATTCATTTATTTAAATTTGATTTAATTTAAAAAAAAAATTAAAATTACAGAAAAATCTTTCATAGTAAACGATACAATTCGTATAGACGTAATAATAGAAGGCGACGCACATTTTTTGAAGGAATTGAAACGATTAATCATAAAATTATTGAAATGCCAACTTATGCATTATCTTCAGGTATAAAATAAGCGATGAGAAATGTTAGGATGACTGAGTTCACTTGGCAGTAGAAGCGCCATTGTGGTTCCACACTCTGGGCAAAAGGCATTATTGTGGTTCCACTCTCGGCAAAAAACCTGACGTTGAAAATTTGGCCAATTGGACATTCGTATGCGCTTCTATTGCCAAGTGCTTTCATGGCAAAATTTGCCTTGTTCGACAAACCAATTAGTGAGCAAAAATATCAGAAAAAAATTTTTCGATTCGTAAACTTTAATTTTTCTGCTAAAAAATTTCATGAGATTTTTTGATAAAGTGCAGAAAAAATTTTTGTAGAAAGCAATTTTGCAACACAGCCTAAGAATCATTGCTTTTTTTTTACTCCAATTCCTTCATATTTGATTTTGATTTTCGTTTAAAAACATGATAAGATAAGGAAGATAAGATTACCAGAATTTAATTGGCTGATAATTTTGAGAGAGTTCGATATTAATGTTTTTATGTTAGGCAACATTTGATTCATATACAAGTAAATGTAGTAAATACATATTTTAGAATCCTCTACAATCAATGAAACATGCTTATACAATACTGATTGCACCGAAGGTGCATACTGTGATAGTGGTTTATGCAAATGCTGGCTGACACACATACAAATTTATGGCTACTGCTGGAAAAGTTTGTTGATTATTTTTAGCGCGCAGTTAATATTAGTAGATAGTTGGCTATCGTTTCGCATGCATTTTATTATAAAGATAATATTTGCAAGGTAAAAAACCTATGAGATTTTAAAACAAAATTTTTGAAAAAAAATGCATAAAGAGAGAATTATTTGAAGAGATAAATCCGGATGAGAATGGATGTATCTATAACGAACAGTGTGAAGCAGTTTGGCCGGAATCTGAATGCATTTTAAATGTTTGCCGATGTCCTACTGGTCAGATATCTGCAAAAACTCGAGAAGGAATAATTTGCCATTTTATTGGTATTAGAATATTTCGAGATAAAATCGTAATATGAAATACATAATTTATATAAAATGACAAGCGATCATGAATAAATGATAATGAAGATTATCATTGTCATTATTATCATTCTTGTCATTCATTGTTATCATTCTTTTTTGAATAGCTGAATTCCATTTCAGATATTCTTAATCCATTTCCTAAAGAGATTTTTGGTGATTTTCATTTTTTAAATGAAATTATTTGTAGGTCAATGCCCTACGAATGGTTTAAATTCAATACTTTATGATCGAAACACGGATTCGCCGGCAAAGTGTCAATTTTTCATTGATGAACAAAACGAGGAGCATTTCGTGGGTTGTGATGAATTTCCCGAAATGTATGATTGCATCAAAGGGATTTGTTGCCCATCTCGAGGTTGGTTTTTTTTTTGATTTGTTTCTTAAATTTTTATGAACCAAACGAAAATCATTTTTGGATGTCAAAAGTTTTACGCATTTCGCTTTGCCGATTCCTTTTTTAAGGCAATAAATCATTTTTTCGATTGAACATTCATTAGTTAATCGTATTTAATTCAATGAGAAATTCGATTTATAATATTATAAGAATTTCCATTTAATTTTAATTTAATTTAATTTTTTTAATTTTAATTTAATTTTTTTAATTTTTTTTCAGCCTTTACATGTATTCAACCGATGGATTCTGGAATATATGTGGCATATAATCAAATAAAAACTTACGATCGTTGGTACTACAATTTTAAAACGGCCATCTGTGAGAAATTTGCCTATTTTGGTGACGGTGGCAATTCAAATAATTTTTTAACAAGAACGCACTGCGAATCATATTGTAAAAATAGTAAATTTTTGAAATTTTACTTTGATAATAAAGGGCCATAGAGCCAACAAAACTAGCTTTGGTAGGAATTTTTAGAAAAAAAGAAAGCAAAATAGATAATTAAATAAAATATTTATGGAGCATTAGAAGCGAGAAAAAAAAGAATCCTTTTAAACCCTGATAAAACTGATAAGATGATGAAAGCTGTGGATTAGTTTGAATATTTGAGGCATTATCATAAAATAAGGACGTTTTATCTACGTCAAAATATTTCATGGTGTCCAAGAGGATATTCACAGCGATCCAATACTGCACTAGTTAAAACCATTAATGGTATGACTATTTGTTCACATAACGAAGATTTGTGCCAAAAAGATAAGTATCAATGCAATAAGCTCGAAACATTATCGCTATGTTGTCCGACTTCGGGTAAGGAAGAACTTCTTTTACTGCTATAATTTTCTGAAATTCATAGTTAAAAAATTAAAAAATTTTCAATATTCAACATTGTATTTTTTATCTTTGGCACATTCTATTTTCGCTTTATCTTTTCATTCTCACTTTTTTATGGATTATAATCTATAGAAATAAGGATAGATTGTAGCAAAGTATATGGGGTTGTTTGAATAAAGCAACGACAACTTTTTTTACCAATGTAATTTTTTAATGATAATAAGATTTTTCCAGATTTTATATGTAGTAGTTCTGGTGGCATCGAAAAAAATATGAAATCCATATCTGAAAAATGGCCATTGGCACCGTATTCTGTTGGTTCAAATCGTTATGGCCAACGATTGGTGCAGAGGTTTTGGTCTATCTTTATCTTCATCTTTTACTTTTAGTATTCCATCGATAAGTCATTACACTGTGACTCTATTACGCTGGCAAATTAAATATTTATTGTCGATTACTGCACATTTTGTTCATTTGCTGAACATACATTTGAATATTAATAAAATAAATAAGAATCCAGTTGAGAGGCAAATATATCTTATTAAATTACCTGAATTGTTTTAGATGGTACTGGGACAAAATAATTGGCCGATGCGCAACTTTTAACTATCAAGGCCAAGGAGGAAATTTTAACAATTTTTTCACCGAAGAAGAGTGTGT